GTTGCGCGCCAGGGATTCACAAAAGATTAATGAGGATGTTCCAGGTGTTAATAAATTGAAACAAAAATCAAAAAGAAAGCGGCATCATCTGATCTGAAAGTACGTGTGATAACTCCAAAATGTTTGAATTAATCCTGAACACGCACAAAATGGAAATCTACGCGAATATTATTTAAGGGTTAGACAATGTGTGATTTCAGTGATGAGGAAAGATTTTGTATATAAATACTTTACTAAGTCATAATAAGATGAATAGCTGTAACCGCTGGTTAATAGCCTAGCTTTAGGGTGGTATAGGTATTTCGTGCATAGAAAAAGAAAAAGGTCAGCATTGTATAAATTTTGATCGTGGTATTACCTTCGCTTTAATTTAGAAAATCAGTTAACTTTGATATTGGCAGGCTGTCCATATGAGTTGATTTTCAGCTTCATTTTTCCCATTAGCAGGTTAGCTAAAAAAACAACGGTATGACCGCAGAAATGAAGAATTCTAACTAATATTACAGTTTTTCTGCTAGGTTTAATACAGTTTATTTAGATACAGGGAGATATTATCGACATTGTTATTGTATTTAGTAATACAACTAGTGTGAACTGTTATCAACCGTACACTTTATACGTAAAAATAATGTTAATTATGTGAATTTCGGACATAAAACTGGTGGTAGTTCGTTGAACATTAGTGCATTCGCAAGAGATATGCTCTGGACTCCATGTTCTAATGTGCAACATATCGACATTTGAAACTCAGGCATGTCGGTTAAAGGTACATATACATCAGTTGCAAGTATCAAGTTTGAGAATGTACAAAAATCGATTTGTATGAATTTGAGTGATTATGAGGTGTTGAAATCAACTGAGCTTATGTGCCACAAATGTAGGTGATATGTTGTTGTACGATGCTTTCGGCTATATCAATTTTTACAAGGTGATAAACAGGGAGTGCTGCTTATGTGATTATCAGCAACAGCACATGTGATAACCGAGGAGACTACAACTCCCAACTCATGTCTATGTTGGGATTGAACCTCTCTTCGTGATTGGGTATATTCGACAGCGATATTTTAAGTTTTCAGGAGATTTGCTTGACTGCATACACCGATGATCTGCATGAATGGTTATATCCCCAAACCTCCATTATACTGACAATGTTCTATGATATTTACTAAATGAGCAACTGATAGAGAAACACACTGAAATCATCTATTATACTTAAACATAAGCACGAGAAAACAACACTAGTCGATGATAATTACGAGTCAGTTCATTGACCAGGCTGGTAAATAGTTTCATCAATTTCATAAATTATGTTACGTGTAGCAATACGGACTATGATATTTTTAGTGTTAAATGTTAAATGCGGTTTTAGCCACTTGATTGGAACTTAACAGGTCGAACTGTCATGTCATAAACGTCCTGTCTCATACGACACAAACCACCCACACCCTCTATGGTAGTCTTCTGCAGACTATCTCCCAGGGGCGTGACCTTGGACTTTGAACCACGAAGAGCATAGACAACAGTTCAAACTATATAGGCCACGCAACAACATCAAACGCAACTCTCCACTTCATACGTAGATAACATGGTACAATCAACTAATATTTGATTATAACACTTTGAGACGCACGCATGACCCCACCTTGAATTCCAAAATGTCGTTGCACCAACCGTCTACAAAAGGGATAGTAATCATCCAGACTAAGTACATAGATAACCAAGTGGACGATAAGTCTGAAACATAATTTCGACAACGACATAGTCCAACACTTGAAATTATTCTCACTGATCTACAACAGAACAAAAGATGATATGACATATAACATAATAAGTACGTCGATCCACCACAACACAACCACTCCACCAGAAAATAACTACTACGCGCTTCAAGCTAACCCCCAAATAGTCGCATATAAAAGAGAAAAAATTAGATACACTCTCACTTTTTCTGATCAAGAGTTGTCCTCAATTTGAATGCTCTTCCAGTCGGAGACCACCGTCCTCTTAGTAAATTTCTCTGAAAGGAGACTCGATAAACACCTAATCAACCATGGTTTGTCATCTTCCGTTTGGTCCAGCTGTGCACGGTGCACATCCCATAATTTACCTACTCTTATCATCACTGAATGTCAGTAACTACTTCCCAATTCACTTATTATCGTCCATGTTTCTCCTCTTAACCTTACAACTCCATCTTCTCGCACTGTCTTCATAACCGATCGATTAATTAATTAATTTATATTTTGAAGCAACAGCGTTATTTAGGCACTCAAATTATCATATCAGTCACTGATTTTTCGATAAGCTATATCTGGTACTGAAACATGTCTTCTGTTGCCTTTATGCACATGTCCCTTACATTTATTAAATTGCCTGTATGCGGTGTTATTACCATTTCGAAGAAGAAAGTGTGATTCTTGATGATCGTAGGTTGCTTGTATATTTTCGGGCTTTTGGTGCAACAGAATGCTCTGTAGCACAAAAAGTCGTTCACAGTAAATATCCCAATGAGCAACCACGCTAACTTGAGGATGAAACTCCCAGTCTACATGCTGTAGATTATCCTGTGAAACTGAAGCATCCATCCGTTCGTAATTCCAACATTTCTTTCTGGTCTGAGATTTTTATTGTGATTGCTTCAGCAAAGCGAAGAGAAGCAGTATCTTTTTGTCTGCTACCAGTTTGAAAGCTTGAGGAACGTCAGTGGTATGCCTAGTGTCACATGAATGCCGAGCTATTGCGTTGTTGAGAGGCCTTGTCGCTCGCAGTCTTAATTTCCTCGGAACATGCTTGTAATGTGAACATATAATCTTTTCACGGTTTTTGCAATGTTTGTACTTTGGCACGTACATGAAGATTTGTAGATACAGTCGGAGCTACTCAGAAAGGATGACCTGTCAATTGTGAGCCAGAGGATTGTTCTCCATAGCGTCGTCAGTTTTACTGGCGTATTAGTCTCTTACAATGTGAAATGTTTCCTGTGATCTGTTGTCCCAGAGACTTCATCTCCTTTAAAGCACAAGTGTAAGAAGTGGGTTTTCTTTTCAACTGTATCGTATTTAGCCCGAGGGTCGGGTTTAGCATATTTCTCGATAAACTTCTTCGGATATACACTTTCGCCTAGGTAATTTGTAGTGAGAGCAATTTCATCTTCTAGGCATACCTTTTAGCAAATTTTGCGTGCGCGGTTAAAAAAGGTTAGTATAATACCCTTTTGTTACTCATTGGACAGAAACTGTTGTAATTGATATAAACTCTATTCCATGTATTCTGCTGTGAATGTGTCTTTGTAATGTTACGTTTGATGTTCGTCCGAGTCCGAAATCTTAGAAGTGGAATATACCTCATACTTCGTGTTTCATGTTAGAATCTTTAACCTCGTGTGTTTTGTTAAGCAGATTGTGTATGTTCATGGAGTGCTTAGGATTGCGACAGACGAGAAACGTGTCATCAATATATTTACAGTTGAGTGTAGTCCCAACAATTACGTGCTTGAGCTCCCTCTGATCCAGGTTTCCCATAAATATATGGGCCAAAGTTAGACCCAAACAGTCACCCATGGTTACTGCATAGATTTGGTAGAAAAACATATTGTTAAATTAAAATTGTATGTTTTTGGTACACAAGAACAGCAGCTGTTGAAATACGTGGATTGGTAAAGACAGACGTTCGTAATATTCATATATGACATCTTCCGTTTCTTCCGAAGGGATGCTTGTGAAGAGTGATGAGACATCAAACAAGACCATGAATTTATCGGAAGCACTAAGACTGCCATGCTTTTGTACAAATTTAAGACTGTCCTACAAACTATAGGGTGCCAGTTTTTACGGCCTGGTTCAAAGCACCTTGTTAGCCATTGCTCCAGATTAATGACATCACCTTACCAATGCACTCATCTCTGTTTAGGATGACTCCACCTTAACCCATATATGAATATAAGAAGTACCGATATTGATTCGTATTTCATAATAGTTTCTCAATGCCTGCGATTGACCTTTATTTAACAGCTTAGAATGCGGGACTGATGTCGTAACATACTGATTTGTATTATCCACATATTTCAATTTCAAAATACTTTGTTTTTCGACTCTCATGGGTTTTGGGTCTGACGACTGTTGATATAAATACTCAGATTGTGTTTTGATGTTAATTGTTCCCCACTTTATCTTAACCCAATGTTAAATTTAACATAAATTTGGTTGTAAGCAGCTGATGAGAAACCATGAAATATGATGAATTCATATTATCCTGCATCCATGTTCGTTCTGGAATTATTTAACTGTACAAGAATCCGATTCGACATCAGTGGTGGGCAGACAACAAGGTCCTTGCCTTCGACAGTTCAAATGATAAATTAGTCCATCCGTGACATGTTGCAGACTGCCAATACAACCTAAGTAACTCCCTTCTAGAGGTATACCAAGTTGAAAAAGATCCAGAAGAGTTGATACTTTACGACCTGATGTCTTGCGCTGAGAGGAAAATGCCTTCCAAGCAAACATTGCACTGGTAAAATTGAAATTCATTTATGGCCAGCTCAACGAAAGAACTTTCCACATAATCTTCAACGGTTTTATTTAACCCCAGTTGAAGTATGGAAACACGGAGTTTCCATCCTCACTCCAGAAGGAATAGGACACACTGCAACTTAATTGAACGCGAGCTAGGAAATCCGTTCAGGGACTCAAATTCAGGTTTGATGAAGAACTCTTTCAGTTACTGAACTTTTACTCATTCGAATACAGGCGTCTTAGAGGTGACCTTCTAATGGCTTATAGTATCCTTAACACTTCTGGACATCCCCTTAAACACCTACTTAAGCTTAGTCCCAATACAAACCTAAGGGGTAACATTCAGAAATTAGAGATACAACATAGCAGAACGGACTGTAGACATAACCTCTACTCCTCAAGAGTTGTCAAATGCTGGAATTCGCTGCCGTATGAACTAGTCGAAACGATTTCCTAGGAGTCCTTTGAGAAGAATCTTGACATATTCTTAAGGGCTAAGGACAGCATCTCGCTATAATTTACTTTTTTTCTATTTTATCGTTAAATATAGCTATTTTCCGACCTGGAGGCACCGGTGATCCACTACTACCTGGTGCTGAAGCCCGTTAAACGAAAGCTTCTTCTGCTTAGTCCAGAACCATTTGAACGTAGTGTGGTCATTGAACATTGGAATTCGGTGACGCATATGATATAAATATAGTCAGGGTAGCAGTAAGGAGGTACAAGTTTTGAGGGACAATTATTCTTTAGTTCAGTCGGTGGTGTTTAATTGTTTGTTGCTAGTTAAATTTTTGTCAAGCTAAAGCACTATCATCATCTCATGAAGGAATTTATACCAATGTGGATTCCAAGCGTTTAATAGAGTTGCAAAAACAAATACCGCCGTATCATAATTGTATTAATACTCTTATGTGTGATCAGTGTATTGATATACAAATCCTTTTATCACTACAATGTGCACTGACAAAAAGTTGTAGTCAGGTCATCCGAATCATCATTTGCACTGGGTTTTAGAATTATGATGCGCCTCGAAATGTATGAATACGTAATTTACTGTTGAGTAAATTAATTCATTAGTAGGTTCATCTTCCAAGTATCCTTTCACACACAATTTGGGAACTGTCGGTTATGTGCGTTTGTGTTTTTTACTGCTCATTTCGCACCGTGTACTGCAGTTGAAGCAGTATCAAAGCACCACATTACTTCTTAAAGTTGGTTTTTCCTGTTAAGATACTATTTGGTCTGTAAAATTTAATTGATATAAAACCACCGTGTGATCACTATATATTTATTTGACTATTTGTTACTAAGGTTGCATTTCCGTCTATCACTACACACTTCTCAACTATACGTATCTCCTAAAAATGTCTATTAACCAACTGTCATATTACCATCAACCTAGTAAGATTATTCACGTCGTACATAGTGTTGGACACTCACGGTTTAGTAGATGGGTAAGTAAGTTCCTTCAATATATGGAGAATTCCTTACATGCTGAGTTATTCAATGAAACAAAAACCAAAAAGCCTGTATATTAACCACTACAAGTATTATGTTGGTCTCCTTTTGTAAAAATGATTAAGGTGAAGTGTTACTGCCAACCCCCTCACTTTTCAGAACAACCTGGGAAGTCAATTGGCACTAACCACCACTCGGGTCTTACACCAGTGATGTACACATTACTGCGGGGTTTGTGGCAATATATATCACAAAGGGATGAGTTTTCTGTTCTCATACTAGGTTTGGATGGCGCTGGAAAAACAGTAGTTTTGGTTACATATGATTGACAAGTCTAGACTTATTTAGAACAAGCTAAAATAAATTTTGTTCCAAATTACAAATCTATCCCAATTCAGAAAATCACTACTACTGTTGGTCTAAATAGTAAGTTTCCCGTCTTTCCATAATTTTAAGTTGGATACATTGAGGTTGATGGGATCCGGCTTAAATTTTGGGATCTCGGCGGTCAAGAAGAGCTTCAATCGTTGTGGGATAAGGTTAGCTTAATATGCATTTCTCAGTTTTATTTAGTACTATGCTGAATCAAACGGTGTTATTTATGTCGTTGATTCTGCAGATAGCGATCGTTTTGATGAGTCTAAAGATGCATTTGGTAAGTGCCTCTTGTAATTATTAGTGTTAGATAAGATGATTAGAAACCCTGTACTGGAAGGTGTGCCGTTACTGGTTCTAGCTAACAAGCAAGATATGCAGGTAAGAAAATTAGCTGTGTTATTCGACTTTTGTGACGGATTCAACTCATGTACCGATTTGTACCTCCACAACTTTGACAAAACTGATCCTTTGTAACGCATCTGTGTCAATGTATGCATGCACGGATCTCTCCACCATACACCATAGTTGGAGTTGTTACAGAACCTGTCGTAAAAAAATTAATATAAATATACTTATTTAGTTACCCTCATATCATGTCGACAAGACTGATGCTTAGGACAATAACGTGGTTGATATTTTAAGCACAACGCGGTGAGGGCCTGGGACGATTGTATATTAGCCCCTCACATCACTTATCAGTAGATTAAGAGGAGAAACTAACAAAACGATAGATGACCACCCAATTGTCTTTGACGTTTTCTTGTTCAGTTCGTTTAGATATAATATAAATATAGGGAAATACAAAGATTAGTCTAATTTCCTCCTACATTGATACAATAATAGATGGATAGATGACCGGTTTTGGAAATCGTCATATACTAAGTATTCGGAATAAATTTAGGTTTCCTTAAAAGGTGAAGAATTTCTAAATGGCGAATTCACATATTAGAAAACTAATGAAGGGTCGTAACATTTTGAATGGTCAGCAAGTCTTTCAAAGTAACCACCATGGCTCCTGAATCTTACGTGCGAACATCAAGGTATCTGTAGACAAATCCTTAAGTGTCTACCTCTCGTATGAATGGTTGCAGAAACGTTGGTTTGAGGACTGCTTCATAGTGAAGTCTCCAACTCATTTCTGATGCTGAAGCTCTTGTAAGGGCTTCCTGTCACTTTTCTTTTCAGTTGTTTAATAAACTCAAGTATGTAGCGGTAAGCTGGATTTCCTTTGTGCTTTTTTACAAGTCATCTCGTAGTCTTCTTCAAAGCTCTCTATTTTACGTCTCATCGTTCTCACAATGGTTAGTGAGTACTGAGAAGCTGTCATGGTGGAGTAGTCGAAGTCATCGACGAATCGCACTTGTACGTGTTACCACTCCTTGACAATATTTTGGTGACTACCGTTGTATTTTAGTTAAACCTGCCACTTTACGACCCGCATATTTGTTCTTAAGGACGTAGGGAGTTGTACCCAAAAATAGGAACAATGAAGTCCGGAATTGTATCAAATGTATCTAAACGAACCTACAATTCAGTTGACAAGCACCTACACTATGTTCTTGTGCCTAATTCACATTTTTTAGAGCGCATCCCATTTGTCTGAAATAAACAAAGTTTTCTACGACAGTCTACGTCTTGTTGGGCAACGTCAATGCACATTTCATGGTGTCAGTGCACTTAACGGGTAAATTAATCAGTAACATGTCGATTTCTAGATATAACCATTCCAGTCAACCTATATTGTTATTTCTCAGGTTGGTTAACGTTTTATAACATATGGGTATGTTTTGCACTGTCAGGAGGAAACGTCTTGAGCGCATTAGAACTTTAAATTTGTTTTCGATAAAACGCACAACACTTATATAGTGTTTCAATAACAAACATGAAAAGATTCTGCAATAACACTACTAGTAACTTTCAAGTGTTGAATATACTATGAGGGTGATAAGGCATATCGAAATACCGATACCAAGGTTGGACTTCTAGCAAATTGAGCACTGGATTGGAAGTTAATAGTGGAAATTTTTCGTTTACTCGGAAAGTGGCTAACATTAAGTTGCGAAACGTCAGTAGTACAATTTCCTATTGATTGGGATATCACAAGAAATATATTCATTAGTGTATCGAAATACGTTATTCACCTCCAATTGCTAATTAGATGGATGTAGAAGCATTGCTTTCAAAGTCAGTGACCATTTACCCCCCGCACAAATTAATTAAAGATGAGGAGTATACTTGCCCTTTTGTTGGTAAAGGTGGTTGATGAAAATGCAGAACTTCATCAACTGAAGTGACTCGGATATCTGCTTTGTATGCTTACCTCGAAGCACAGTGGTAGTTGGGGTAGAAATTGGTTGAATAAATGAAGAGACTGATCCAAGATATGGGGTCTGTTCATGAACTTATTGACTTAAACTAAGTTGTGTTGATAAACTCAGACTACCTAGCTAAGGAAAGTGTGGACGGAAGTTGAAGACAGATGACTTCGCTCAGAATTAGATTGTTTTTTAGTGTAAACACCTGTGTTTTTATTTCTTAGTTGTTTCGAAATGTAGTGTTTAAGGGGTTTATTGCCGTTGATAATATCCAATTTTGTTTACGATTTCTAAGTAGGAACTGTTGATGGTTTCCTGGCCCAAAAACTATAGGGTCATATCCTCCTTAATCTCATCAGTGAGTAGAATCATAAGCAACTTTTGGTAAGACAATATGCTGAGACGATGGAATTTATCTCGACATTTTGAAGTGCATACAGTAACACCCCGTAAAAAGTACTAGTGGGGACCATGTCCTCTTTTAAGAATCGATGAAAATTCGGAGAATGACCTTGTAATTGCATAGAGCTAGAGATCAATAATTTTAGCCTTAGAAACCAGAAAAAGTATGTAGCAATCTAAGAGGTTAAAGAGAAAATGACGAAAAATAGAGTACTCCAGTATTCCATGCTTAAAACTTCCTAGATATCTACATCAAGCGCTCAATAACTAACCAAAGAAAGTGACTAGACTGATGAACGCCAGTCTATTAGCGTGATCCTGTTGTGTGTCGTCGAAAGATACATTTACACTTAGTTGACCAAAATAATAAAAGCAATCATTTCTTGCTACCGAGTTTTTACCAATCGACCATTTAGTTGTATGACGTCTTACTTCTAACATATTAACGCTGTCTATTTTGATGTTTACACTTTGATAGGGAGGGAATAAACAGCAGTATCAAGTGGATTGCTGATAAGGTTAAAGGTAACGCTAAACAAAGGCCACCAAAACAATTTGAAATCCCGTAACGTGTCTCCGTAAAACTTTTTTTGTTTATATAGTACTCAAAGGATTCTGCGGTACTACATACTTTTATTTAACATCTTTTGGCAGGTTTAATAGTAAATGCATGTAAATCTGTATCATAAAAATATGACGAAAATGTATATTAACTTAGGTTTTCTTTCATTGTACAACAAGATGATTTCAGTAGTTGTAATCTTTCCTTTGATTTATTGTCGAGTGATAAGGTTCTAAAAGACAACAGTAGATATTGACATTAATAACAATTGAATTAAACTAAAAGTAACAAATAGTACCAATCGTACAAGTAGTTCTCCTAACTATCTTGAGTAAAGCAACGACTAAGTTTCGAGGATTTAATTCGCGTTATTCTGATTAAATGTTTGTCCTTGCTCTCTTTAACGTAGTAACAACCAGCTTTATCATTAATAAAAAATGTACTAGTTATGATCGTGAAACATGAACTCCAACCCAATTGCAAAATCAACTTGGTTTTACCTCTGGGGTTGTTTTAACTTTGGCAACTTTAGCTATGTATCACAATCAGTTGTTGCACGGTATTCAATTTTACTCATTATTCTGACAGGAATATAGTTTTCTCGTTGTATATATACAGCTTACAAGTTGTAGTAAAAAAAAGAGTGGATGGACCTGTGGCATTACAAACGATTTTGAGACATGTCATTTGAAGTCTATAATCATCGGTTGCGATAAGCACACGGAGACCATCCTAGTAGTTCATACTTGTTATCATGACTCAGTCAAATCTTCGATGGCTTCATGGACTAGTGCCGACTGGCCATCCTTACCTGATACTTGACTCAACCCTAAACATTGCTTACTCGGTAATCCAAAGATACATGAACAATGCTTCGAAGACACCTATGATCGAATACTAGTAACCTACGACTATCTTTTATTCTTAATGTCTTTCACACTCTTGTAGTAGAATGAAATGAATTGTTGTACAGTAAGCTCGTCGTTTGGTTGGCAGATAGATATCTGCTCTACGCTACAAGTGATGGGATTCGACAAAATTCAAGCGGGCTTTCTTAATTTTCCGAGACTTCGTGAGTGAATTAGTCGACACACTCGACTACTCCACTCCCTATCACTGATTCAGGTGCTGATGAGGACCGATGAGCGTTATCTCTTAACGAATATCTATGACAAAGACAAATAAGCATGGAAAGTCGGGCAACCCTGGCAAACACCACTTGAAGTTATCAATTTCAATAACAGGTCGCTTTATTAATGTAAGGTTTAGCAATGCATAAGTTTGCTATTTTATATAAATCGATCAGCAAGTAGTCTGTTTACTTTTATGCATGAGGAGCGAGCAATTTCATAATAAATTAGCGGAACTTACGCAAAACAGCCATCATATTGACTTAGACAGTTTGTTAGAGCCCAACAAAACGTTGCATAAACACGCCATGGTAGACTGGCATCGGATGCAAAACGATAATACGTTAATTTACATAAATCATTTGAAAGGAATGAATCGCCTGAAAGTCGCTTCGAACTTCTTAATGGAGTTTGAAGATGTCCAGCGGATAACATTGTACTTGTATATGAGCTGTCAGGAACTGGATAGTTTACTGACTGTTTGTACTGAGTGGAGAGCAAACCGACGAACTTCAAATGCTTTTCAACTGCCTTAAAAAACGGAACAATGCAGTATAAAGAAGTGGTTAAGATGATTACCAAGTAACAAGTGTGTTTAAGCCATCCACGTAAGTGTTTTGAGAAAGTATTAAAACACCTAAAATTAATTCTCATGGGTACCGTTTCACAGGACATCAGCTTGAACTCTTCATAAAGCACATTTTGGTTAACATGGTAGTATTGTTTCCCATCACATGACACATTTGATTCACATAACAGTATAGAGACCAGTAATTGCGTATTGAGCTGGATTACGATTGCTTAGTAATAAGATTAACGTCAGTTTTCTGATTAACGAGATTTTTATGACAAAAGCTTTCCCTTGATAATAGCTGTGAGATAGGTGTTATTCCTATAGTACTAAATGTATATACATTTTGGTAACTAGTTACTAAGTATATAATCAACAAAAGTCATCCGTTAGGGGGTGGGGAAGGAACCATCACTTTTGGTGTCGGACCAAAGTTCCTTTTCTGCGCTCTAAATTTTAACGTTCTTCCTAGCAAACCGATTCGAGCAAATTCAGAGAGATAATAAGTCGAAATATTTCTTTAGTGATGCTTGGATTAGTCTGCCGGGCAAAAAGTTGGAGCTATTCTAATCTCAATTACTGAGATGATTTTGAATATAATTTTTACATCATGTCTTCAATGAGCACTTTGCATCCGATTTGGATCAAACTGTTCGTCTGAACTTTGACGATCATTCTTATCAATTATTAAAAGAAGGCGACAATCGGTTCGATTCATGCAACTGAATTTAGGAAGTAGTTGGAATTATCAAAGGTCACAAAGTTACCTCTAATCCATCCACAAAAAGCAGTAAGATCCGCCCAAGAGACTGTTGAACCGATCCAAATTGGTCTTCGTTGTAAGCGGCCAGTGTCAAACAAGCTAAGATTTCTGTTGCCCAGATAATAACTTGACCACTTGTTCGTGCTAGCGGTTTCTCGATGTTCAAGTCGTCTGCATGTTCAATATCTGTAGCAGTTGAGAAAAGGTGTGCTGTCGAAGCATAGGGTATTTCTGAAGATAAAATACTGAACAGTTGTGTTCTAGATAATCGTGTGTATAACTTGGAAAGAATAAAAATAAGATAGATCTTAGTTAAAAAACAATAGGATACGTATATGTAAAATAAGGCGACGCGATGAAATGAACAAGCTAGTAGACACTGTTTTTATTAGATTACAGCGGACTCCTACTACATTCAACTGAAAAGGTCTTGTAATCGGTTGGGCTTTCCTACGATTACTACTCATGATCTAGCTAAATTCATAGAAGACTATGAAACCAGTTGAAATCTGAGAAGAAATAAACTTTCTTGATACTGACTTACAGAATACTCTAGGAACTATGAAAATGTGAGACCACAAAGATATAAGACCTTTAAAACTACAAATGATCTATAGCTGTAATCGCTTGATATATTTAATACGTAGAAAAAACGGTGTAATGTTACTTCAGCCGCGTATACTGAACTTCGGCACCAACAATTAAGATTTGACGAAATAAAAAGTTTTAAACTTGTGTTCTGATCATTGCTCTAATTAAGTATATTACTTCATATTTAACCAGCAGTAGTGCATATCATTGTTAATCATCTCCATAAATATTTCACTTATTTTAGAACAAGTCTGGTTTTGTCTAATTGTCAACAAAATCCAGTGTATCCAATATTTTTGTTAAATGAAAATTTTAGTCGTTTATTTTTTACCAGCGTACCTTAGAAAGCAGAGTGCGACCAACATTTATTAAATTTCGAGCAATTATGGACCCGGAAGGTTGCATACCAGACACATTTCCATTAGTAGCAGACAATTGTTTTACTTTAACGCTGTTGCGTTGACGCAGATTTGATTCAAATGATGAGGGTAGATACTGTCTATATTTAAAGTCAATATTTTTGGGCCAAAGAGCTGAAAATAAGCGAAAAAATCTGAATTATGGTGCATTGGCGTATAGATGTTACAAACGTGGGATCATGAGAATTGACAAGCACAAATGGTTTCAGTATACACTAGAAATGCCTATCGAAAAATGAGAAAAGTAAATGGGACTGTAGCGTTACTACATACAACTCGTCTGGTATCTGAAAATATTCGACCTGGACAGACAGTGAGAATGGAGAACTTATGTGATGCGAATCGAGATCATTTGTTTGAGTTAGTGTGGTGCCAGTGAACAGGATCAAAGGATAGAATAGCTGGTCAACAGGGGGAGTCCTGTTAAACAATAAAATTACAGAATAATTAAAAAGTAAGCACGACTAAATACCACTCGAAACAAAAATAAGCATACATCATTTACTAGTTTATGGAATTAGGACGTTAATTTTAGGATCATTTCTCGCCACAGAACATACATTTACATTCCACTGAAAAGATCATCCTAGTTTTTTTGATTAACTAATAAGGGGTCTTTTTCTTAGATATCCTTTAAATGACGTGAATACAATTGTCTTATAAACAGTATGAATCTCTAGATTAAGTGGGACAGTTGAACCTACTGACAAGTTATTAATCTTCGAAATATTATCAGCTCTGATGGGTCTATAAGCAACGAAATGATTATAAATTGGTAGTTTTACATTTGGAGACTAATTTGACTGATGGCACGAAAATATCCATACGCATATACGAGGCCGTTCATTTCATCTGATTTACATTACATCTAAGGAAGGAGGATACAGTTGATTTGTATACAATAACTAATGAACTAATAGTGGAGACACTGTACAATACATAACTACATAAACATGGGTGGATGAGGAAATTAAGAGATAGTAAGGAGTCATCTTAGAAAATGAATGGAATGTTTTAAATGAAACCATTTGATAGCAGTGATGTCTAGCTAAACTATCCATCAAGGATGTAAAATTTGTAACCACTTAAAATAAGTTCCTTAGCTTTAGTCAAGGTTTAAGAAGGCGTAAGCTACTGGAAGTGATAGGGATGACTAATTGTATTTAAGAATGATAGTTGAAAATCTCTATAAAACTATTAACAGAAGTCGCACTTAAGCAACTGGCTTTACCTGTATTGATTTGTGTAATCAAATAGTAATATAACGATGTTGATAAACTGGATATTTTGAAAACTATGCATACGAACACCGGATGGTTGACCGTACGTTTAGTGCTAATGCGGAAACACTATACGAATCCAGAGTATTGACTAAATCTCCTCTATATACTTTGAAACGCTAATTCATTAAGTCATATGTTAGTCATACTTATCCATTTTTGAGGAATGAGATATACCGCAGCAAAGTTTTGATGGAATGAAACAAGTGTAGGGGATTTCGAAAGCCGGTAGCTAAATAATTGAGGCGAACCGATAGATTTTACAGCAAGATTACTTAAAATTGCTGACAACCAGGTGCCCATCATGTATGCATATCTGCGTTATATTGGTTTAGTGACCAGATGCTGTATGAATGCCGTTCATAGTAGATTTTTAGGAATCGATTTCTTACTAAGACATTATTTGGTTGACTCATGTTAACTGAACAAGGTATTCCTTGCTCCAAAGTAAACTGATAAAGTAAATGTTATTTGTTGGGATATTTAGAGGGAGTACTGACAAGGTTAAAAAATGTGAAGCTGAAGCTACTAACTGGAGCCGTACATGATTACTGA